CAGCAGGCCCTACACGGGAGGAACAGGCAACTCTTAAGGTGTACAAGGTGTACAGCTCTTGCCACTCTCACCAGAGACCCAGTCTGCATCAAAGAAATACAGAAAAAAAAGGAGGAAAAAGGAAAACTGAAAGCTTACCTTACCCTAACACTACTCATATTTTCCCAGTGATCACCAGAACTCGCAACCCCTGCAGCATCCATGGCTCTGCATGCTGTGCTGAACCACTGCCCTGAGAGTAACCGTGTATCAGCACAAACACGAAGCAAGAATCGCAGTCATACACTCCCTAGTGCAAGGGTAAGAAAGGGGCAACAGTCACCAGAGGTTTGTCTTGAATGGGAGATGCAGCTGAACTTAATTCAACCGTAATTAGTTGGCAACAGCTGAATTCAATCTATTCTTGTCAGAGGGAAGATAAGCCTCAGAGAATTCATTCCTTTCTGCTCTCCTCTGTTTTGGCAAGGTGTGCAGTTCCACATGAAGGAGAACAATCTCTCAAAACTCGCTAAGGCATTGGTCAAGGAGGACAAATGTGAAATTAAGAAGGGACACAACAGAAAACTGTCACGTGCATCTTTCACTCCATCCAGAAGTCCAGCCTCCTTTCCTGGAGGTGTCGGAAGCAGTGATAAACAACATATTTTATCCATTAATTTACTTTAGGAGCTGAATACACAAACATGCAAGTCTCAGCATGACTAGCTTCCTTATGGAGTTACCAATTGTATACATCCATAACAACAATGTACACAAGACCTATTCCAAATTAGTAAGAGAAAAAAAACAAACGAACAAAAACATTAACAAAGAAAAACACACACGCAGGAAGTAAAAAATATATATATTTAAAAGTATCACATGACAAATTTGTTTGTGCCCAATATGGAAGGAGTCAAGTTTATTAAAACCGCAATCTCTGAAGAGATTGCAAGAGCATCAGATGTCAGCTCTAGCTTAGCTTCATGCTTCCACTAGCACGAAGAATGGAGCAGAGAAAAGATGAATACGAAAGCTAGGGAGCCACTGTTGCACAGAATAAAGGCAATGATCACAAAAGAAGAGAAAATAATTTAATAAGAAGACGGCTTAAATACAAAATGAATATTCTCAGATCATTAAATACTCCAAAACCAAAAGAAATCCTCTTGGATCATTAAATGCTCAAGAACTAGCAAACAATTTATTTTTGGCCCTTTGAATACCAGCATTATCATATCAGACATAAAGGCACACACTGAAATATGCAGAAATAAATAATGACAGTCATTGTCATTAATGTCATCAATGCACTGAATTGTGCAAATTTCCCACTAGGGAAGGGGAGAAAAAAAGAAAAAGAAAAGAAGGTATAATTGCACCATTATACACAGTTCCATATTACATATGCTCAGAAGCCTAATCACAGCGAATAAGCAACTTCCTTTCTGTCTGTCAATTGTTAACTTCCGAATTCTTATTTATAGAAGCTTATCATTAACTCTTAATACGGAGCTTCTCAATATTTTTTATTTGTATTTAAATTGTGTATAAATTTCTCACATGAAAAATTAGGCAATAACTAAAATATTACTGGATACATCTAGAATTCCTGCATAACTGCTTACAAGACTGCTGTTTACAGAAACATTTTGATGATCTTTATGAGGTATTTGAGACACAAGTCATAAAAACTTCTGAAAGATAAGCTGCACCATCGCTCCTTTTCAGTGGCAGCATCTGATGAGGAACAATAAGCCATGTATTAAGAACAGTATCATGGCTTTGTTCAAGAAACTAGTTCAAGAAACTTAGTATTTCAATTTCCAAGAATAAACAGAGAACACATTTTAAAAAACAGATACAAAGGAAAAAAGAAAATAAAGAGGTATACAGCTAACAAAACGGCTGTGACATCGGCTCGGGGTGATCCTGTCCTATCCTGCTGGAATGTCCTGGGCATCAAAACCCAGCAGCACCCTGGCCCCTCGCAAGCCAAGGGACACTGTGTGTCTAGAAACTGACCTTGCTTTGCCTACAGATTTGCAACACTGCAGCATTGTACCAAAAAGACAAATTTACACACAAGTCCACAAGAAACTGACCGTGTTTAAAATAACATATGCACCTAGAACTAGACATATACACTTCAAAAAAGCAAAACCCAAATAAATTTAGACTCCATTCTTGCACCTTGGCATGTGGCATACAAGCAGTGAAGCTCCTCTTCCACAGGCTAACAACGGTCACCCATAAGCTGTGAAGTCATTTCTTGTCAGGGCCCTGGAAAGCCCTGACACAAGTTCAGGTATGAAGGAAGGACACAGGTATTGTCATGTTGTAGCGGATGCATCAAAGTTGGTCTTTTAGCTATACTCTGTCCTTATTTCCACTCAGAAAGTATTTTCCACATGCCACTGACAAAGGTACTACTTTTCAATAGGTCCCAGCCAATATTTTCACTTCCAGGGCCTCAAGCACACCCTAAAGAAAAAATTTCCCTGCCCAGAAGACACTAAGTTTGCCATCTTGCGACCTCACTCTTCAGATACCTGTTCTAGCACAGGATATCTTAGCAGTTCTCTTGTCAAAGTCACTGTATCAGTGCAAAAGGCATTTCTACATCATCAAATGTCCTACAGCATTTAGCAAAAGACATGCATCACATAAAGGTGGGAAAGTGATTAAGTTTAATAAGTGTATTGAAACAGAAGCCTCCAGCACCACACACAGAAATGGAATGCAGTGAACAGGGAATCAGACTGGCAGCTTTTGGTCTGACAGAAGAGCAATTCTTCTGGGCCAGCGTTTCTCAGCCTCTGATCCAGGGGCACTGGATCATCACTGTGACACATCTGAAAAAGCCCTTGGAACAGCTCCAAAAAGGGATGATTTGTGTTGGGGAAGGGAACTGCTTGTTTGTTTGTGTTTATATTTTGAATACACAATCCTCACACATAAACATGAGAATGGAAAACCAGCTAAAATAAAAGCAGCAGCTAAGTGTTCAAAGCTAAGCTCGGTTTATGTCTGATCTCAGCTAAAATCTCCTGTGGCATTACTGCACAGTACAATCCATGGACTGTATTCAATGAGGTCGGATGTCCCTCTAGACTTGAAAAGGTTGTGAGATGTTGCTTTAGATGACAGATATTTGGCAGATAACACAACCCAAGATAAAGATTCCTGAAGGACAAAGTGAGATGGTAAGACAACCAGTACCATATGACTAGAGAAGGAGATGAAGACGCAGAAAAGAGGGGGGAGAGGAAAAAAAAAAAAAACTTAAAACACTTATATTGAATATTCCCCTAAAAAACAAAAGATACCAGGAAAGTACTGACAGAATGAGAAAACAAAAGCCATAGTGCTCAAGCTTACTTAATTTTGATTATTAGGAATCGCAAACTAAATACACCGTGAGAACTGAAGTCTCTAACACCAGCCTTGCAGAGCACCAACGTGCTGTTGCACTCCGCCGGGAAAGCAAAGCCATAAAGCGCATTAGGCGACCCCAGACCCGGCCCCTGCAGCGCTCCAGCACTGCCCTGGGCTTAACCGCATCCCCCGCAGCGCCCCCGGGGCCGCTACTTACTGGAGTCCTCCCAGCGGAGCAGGTGCAGCTTCCAGGCGGAGTAGTAGAGGAAGCCGAGCACGAGGAAGAGGCAGAGCGCGAGCAGCAGGTTGCGCAGGAACACGAGCAGTCCCATCTTCCCGCCGCGCCGC